CTTGACAGGAAATTATGGAAGTCGAGTATTAAGATTGTAGGTTAGGGGAGAGTTGTGAATATTTCTACAGCACAATAGAGTGAGACTAGCCAGTTAGGAGTTAGACTAAGAAGGTTATTGGTCGTCTATTGATGCANCGGGCGTGGCCCCCATAGAGGACAAGATGCGGGAAGCAAGACTTAGATGGTTCGGGCACATTCAGAGGANATGAGATTATACTAGGTTGTTGTTGTTGTTGAACTCAATCTTTCAGAAATTTCTGCTAAAAGAATCAATGAAATAACAAAAATAATTTATGCTTTTCCACAACAGAGAAGCAAAAACAATTTTCAATATTTTCTTCATCACAAAGTAATCACCTTTTTTTCCTATATATATTATACATCTAGAAAGTTACATATTCGTTTCTCTTTTACTTTCTCTGCTTCTCTACCCCACCATTGTTTATCATCTACTCATACCTTTTTTTCCCTTTCTCCCCTTTGCTAAATATATAGTACAACTTTTGTCATGTTTTTCTAAAGACCAACATTATATAATTCCTATTATAGTTCCATTGGGATCTCTTGCTCAAGTCACATACATTCAAGAAAATGTCCACCATTATAATGACTAAAGGAGCTTCCAAATTCATCTTCTTATTCTTCTTGTCTATTCTTCTTGCCTGCATTTCTGGTTAGTGTACTTTCTTGATTTGAATATTCCAAGTTTCTTGTTTTTGCTGATGATTCTTCTATTCTATGACTACTGTGTTTTCTGTCTATGTTTAAGATTCTGCAATGAATATTCACCATTTTTTGTATTCCTTGCTTTATGTTAAGACTATTGGTCAGTTTTCCTTTTCCTTTTTCTGTGATCAAGACTATTGTGGGTTGATGTTATAACAATTGATGTAAGTTTCACCACTTGCTGATATATTTGATTTCTGTAGTTAGACAAGTTTGCTCTGAGGGGTTGATGGTTCAAGCTGTCTTACATACTTATTTTGGACCTATTTGCAATATTTTTGTTTTTTTCATCTTCTTTTCTAATTTATTGTGGGG